CGGGGCTCTGCACAAGCCCCCTTGACATTTTCCCCTGCTCTCCCAGCCCCCCCACGGCTGCCCTGCCTGCCTGGGCTCTGGCCCTTTAAGAAAAAAAAAGCCGAGAAAAGCCCCAGGAGTCACTGCTCCTGGTGCAGCCTCAGGGCAACAGGGGCTCCTGCAGAGCCTCCCATGTGGATCGCCCCCCACTGGCAGGAGCGGTGAGTCCCAGGGTTTTTTCAGGGTTTTTTTTTTTCTAAAAGGGCCATGAGGGGGCTGGGGGAGCAGGGGGTGGGTCTCAGACACTCATGCAGAGCCCCCCCATGCAGCGTGGGGCAGCGGGGATCGCCCCCTGCCTAGCAGCACCCGCTGAACCGGGGCTTTAGTGCTGGGAGCTGGGGCAGGCGGGGTGGCCATTGCTGGGCTGGGAGAGGGGCAGGGGATGGGTCTGGCTGATTCAGATGAATCGAATCAGGACAGTGATTTGAATCACCGAATTGAACCACTGTCCACCCTCCCCACAGACAGGGAGGCAAGAGGTATAGGGGTCTGTTCTCAGCTCCACCACTGGCTTGTTCAATGAGCTCCTTCTTGCTCTGTACCTGTATTTCTTCCCCACCATTTGTCTCTCTTGCCTACTGTTAAGGTCATTTGTAGACACTTTTTAGTGGGTTTAAAGCAAGTTAAATGCCTTTTGCACCACTTTAATGGTATTGCTGTTTGCACATTTGGCAGCGTATTGCCCGTTAATTCCGGCCACTGTAGTACATTTGGCGGCATAATGCGCCTTAAATGACTGGGATACAGCAAATGACTTTGGGGCGCTGCAAAGTAAAACACCTCTGAGGAGTTTTAGTTTCCTACCCTACAGCTGCAGAGGGAAGCACCGGGCTCTGTGCAGCTCAAGGGCTGTGAAGGCAGACCACGCAGGCACAGAAGGAGAAAAAAAAAAAAAGTGGTGAGCCTGATCTCCCCCTGGAGCCTGCCTGAGTTGTGTGGGAGCCCTGTGCTTCCCTCCACGGCTGCGGTGCCCCCCAGGACGCCCAAGACAGGTGCCTAGGGGGCTGTGCTGCCTGGGGGGGGCCCATTGCTGTCATGGAGGGAAGCACCAGCCCCCCTCCCCACAGCTCAGGGACAGCTCTACCCACCAGCAGCTCACTCTCCCCTCCCTGCCGCTGGAGAGGCAGGTAAAGATTGGGTTCCGACACAGGTGTACACAACACGGGGGTTTACTTTGCCCTAAATTGAAGCAGTGTTTTTAAAAAAACACTGCTTTAATTTGGGGAGAATTAAACCTCTGTGTTGTCTACAAATGCTCTAAGATGCTAAACAATAATGTAATAAAAAGAGAGGTCCAGGATTTTATATACCATACTAAGGAAGGAATAGTTTGCTGTGGCTCCTGAAACTCCAAAGACTTCAGAAAGTAAACTAATTTGCATTTCTCCCCTGCCTCCCCCTATTGAGATGTTAGCATTTCCCTGAACAAGAGCTCTGCCCTTCCCCTTGAAGCCCATTTGTGTTCCCAGCCACTGGATGCCGCTTGAAGAACACATGCAGATGCTTGCATACTTACTTTTTTCATTGGCATAGTAGTAAAAGATCTTTCTGTTGAGGACACACCATCGCTTCTGCCATTCTGACCCAAAAAAACTATGGTCTGTACAGAAACGGAAAACAAAAGTGGGTTAAAGGCAGTGGAGAAAAGTCAGCAGAGAGGAAACATTTCTTCAAATCCTGTTTAGTTCCTTCAGTCCTTTTCCCACCACAGTCTCTCAGATCCACCCCAACAGAAGGCGGATTTTGATATCCTCATGCTAGGGCATTAAATTCAGAACCAAGCATTTAATATTGCAATACTTTCTTCAGAATCTAAACTCTCTTCACTAGGAAAAAGCGTATGTTCCAACCTCATGTTCCCTACTGCACCAGGAACTAATATGAGGTAAAATCCCAGTGGAGAATGTGGCGGTCAAGTGGTAGGCCGGGCTGTGGCCAGTAGCCTCGAAACGGCAGGCGGGTACTTTTGACCGATGGAGCGGAATTAGGCACTGAAGCGTACTGGTTGAACAAAGAGATTGTTTACTTACGCCGTCGGTGAATACAGC